TGAAATCGGTCCAAAATTAACTGTAATTGGCCTACCCCCCTAATCTCATTTTGTCAATTTCACAATTTCAGATTTTTAACCGTAACTTCAGATTTTCGAACATAAACCACTCTGGAGATTTTCTTAAACGATGCGCCAATGTCTTCTCTACAACACCTATAAAGTCGTTGCCCGTCACAATCTCTTGAAATCGGTCCAAAATTAACTTCAATTGGCCTACCCCCCTAATCTCATTTTGTCAATTTCACAATTTCAGTTTTTTAACCGTAACTTCAGATTTTCGAACATAAACCACTCTGGAGATTTTCTTAAACGATGCGCCAATTTCTCCTCTACAACACCTATATAGTCGTTGCCCGTCACAATCTCTTGAAATTGGTCCAAAATTAACTGAAATTGGCCTACCCCCTTGATCTCATTTTATCAATTTCACAATTTCAGATTTTCGAACATAAACCACTCTGGAGATTTTCTTTCACGATGCGCCAATGTCCCCTCTACAACACCTATATAGTCGTTGCCCGTCACAATCTCTTCAAATTGGTCCAAAATTTTATTTCAGTGCCCTACCCCCCTAATCTCATTTTGTCAATTTCACAATTTCAGTTTTTTAACCGTAAATTCAGTTTTCGAACATAAACCACTCTGGAGATTTTCCTAAACGTTGCGCCAATGTCTCCTCTACATCACCTATAGGCAGTCGTTGCCCGCCACAATCTCTATAAATAGGTCAACAATCAACTTAAGGTATCCCCCCTTTTCGTTTTTAATTACAATTTTTTCAACCTAACTTCAGATTTTTTAACATAAACCATCCTGGAGTTTGTCTTAATAGATACGCTAATGTCTCAGCTGCATCACCTATGCAGTTGTGTACCGTCACAATCTCTATAAATGGGTCAAAAATCAACTTAATGTATGCCTCCTCCTCCCTTTTCGTTTTTACAATTTTAGTTTTTTAAACTTAACTTCAGATTTTTAAACATAAACCATTCTGGAGGTTGTCTTAGTAGATACGATAATGTCTCCTCTATGTTACCTTTACAGTCGTTGCCTGTCACAATCTCTATAAATTGGTCAAAATCTTTAAATGGTATCCCTATTGTTTTAATTTTTTTTATTCGTTTTTGTTTAATATTTTGAATATTCTCATAATTGTCCGCTAGGTCTCTGTAATTGTTCGCTAGCTCGAAAAAAACGTGATTGTCTTATGTGAAATTGTGGTTTTTAGTTATACATCCTAATTGTTCGCTGGCTAATTGTTCGCTACAATTGTTCGCTAGCTTGAGTCAAGTTTTTTTTTAAGAGAAACAATCTAACGAAATAAGTTAGTAATGAATCACATCAAATTTCCTGATGGCAAATCCTACCGTCTTGTGTCACACTAAATAAGTTGTTGGTTGTGCACCGTAGTAGTAACGTAGTCATATCGACGAGCGTTTAGTACAGTGATTTTGTCATAGTTTGGTTAAGTTGGACATGATTGTGTTAAGTGTTTTTAATGATAAACAATTACAGAATATAAACATTCGGATTTTTTTTATAAAAAAATCTTCTTAACATAAATTCAAGCTGGTAAGTATCTTTGTTTATGGCTAATATGTTATAATATTAAAATTTGTATCATATAGTTAATAATTTGACACAGAATAATGCTTGCATATGTCAAAATTTAAAAGTTGTTATTCGTTTCTTACGCAAAAAGAAAAGTGATTTGTTTACTATCTGTTGCATCACATATTTCGTTATGATATAAACCTGCCGTCAATTATTCCGAAAAAAAACTACATTTGCACACAATTTAAGATTACTGAAAATTCGGTGTCATGGTTTGGTTCTGTAGTGTCATGGTTTAGTTCATGTTCGACATGGTTCAGTTCTGTGATTCCTGTCGTATATGATGGAAGAGTAAAGATCAAAATAAAACAGACATTATGTAAAACTTGAAATACTGTTAAAAAAATATTTTCTCGCGTTTACATGTAACCCATTATATCCTATTTTGAGGTAATATATTGCCGCCATTTCCTTATGTTGTTGTCTTGTTCCCATACGAGTAGATCTGAGTTTCACGTATTAACGTTGATCTTCTACTCGCGAAAATACATCGCTCGAGAAAATAAGTCGTCTACAGTAAATTCAAGATATTATCATTATAGTTATCAATATAGATCACGCATGTATACAGAAATCACGAGGGTAATATATTAATGCATTTCAATAGCAATTATCTTTAAAAGTAGTTTTATTCGGAATACAAAAGGACCTAAGAAAGCCCATAGTAATATATAATAAGTATATGCGGTATGATTTCCAATGAGACAAGTATCCACCCGAGACCAAATGGCGTAAATATTAGGTCGCCGTACGGCCTTTAACAATTGACAAAACCCTTTATTTAAAAAAATTAAGTTTAAACTGTTGTCCATGTTAACATTTTTTCCGTGGAGGGCTGAAGACTGTATGGTGCCCTCTCGATATCGTTTGGTTAGTTTTGTAGTTGGGTTACTGTATCATAGGCGTATTTTTATCGAATGCCAGTTAAAAAGAGCAGTGGCTATATAAATTCTATCTTAGGAACACACCAAAAGTAGAAATGTATCAACATACGGTTTGCCAATACGCCCACCAAATTTGGTTAAAGATTTTTTTGTTTTTCTTTCATTTAGTCAATTGGTAAATTGTGTAACTTCGTTTTTTAACAAGCGCTTTCAAACAAACTATCAATATTAAGGCGAAACAAATATGTATTCACTTAGTGAAATTTCTATGAAAATTACTTTCAAAGTTCCGAATTTAAATATGAAAGATCACAATTTCGAATTAGACATAGTTCGATATAATGTCCATTTTTACGAATGAATAAAAATGAATATGTTTTTGTCATATTGTATAAGTGTATTGTGTAGTATCACTTAACCCGTTTAAGCATATTTTTTTTTTTTTTGCAACACAGTTTCGATAATATCAGAACAAGTTCTGTCGGTCTAGTATCTAATATGAAAAAATGTACATTATTAAATGTGATCGAAAAAAAATAATTTAAATTCCAAGATACATTTGTTATTTTGTTTAGTACAAGTACATTTAAACTGTGTACGAACTTCTTTTTTTTTACCCGACTAGACGAGAAATCATCGTTCTTAATAGGAGAGAATAAGATGGATGAAGATGAATATTGGCAGCAGAATTCCGTTCTGAAATAAAAAAAAAAAAAAAAAAAAAGAAACGTTTTGTCTTGGATTCACGATTTTTTTATTAGTTATTATTGGCTTGGAACTTCCAGTAAATGCGAGTACTCACAGATCGGTTCTTTGTGTCTTTGGTGTTTATGTGACTTGATTATTTTGTTTTGTATCGATCTGATGAGTCAAGTCCTTTTCAAATGATTTTTATAGCTTGTTGTGCTGTTACACTTCTGCCCAGGTTAAGGCAAGGAGAGGGTTTGGAGCCCACAAACATGTTAAACGCCGCCATATTCTGTATGTGCCTGTCCTAAGTCCAGAGTCTGTAATGCAGTGGCTGTCGTGTGTTACTGTATATCATATTTGTTTTTTGCTTATTGGTTTGAACATAAATCAGTCCGTTGGTTATCTCATTTGAATTGCTTTGCATTTAATTTTGTCGAAGCCTTTTGCACATCATTTGCCTCAAAAAGTGTATCATTCCTCATTTCTATTGCCTATCACAAATCTTAACTGCATGATAGCAATTTAGCAAAAAAAGCATAATTGCCATTACATTTAATGCACTGGGTGAGCAAATCAAACAGAAAAGCTTAACCTTTTCCGTATTAATTCGGTTTTATTTCGAAGTTAAATAGAGTTTAAAATCTCTCCGTAAAACTCCAGAACAAAATACTTCAAAACGTTACTAAAATTAACAAGTGAACTGACACAAATATTGTTGTATTGACCTTGAATAATCTATATTTAACACGCTTCATACACACTTGTATGTTATATATTATGCATGCAGGATATGTTGTTACATAAAGTCTATAGCACGATTAATTGCAAATAAAATATAATTGTCTGTCTGTCTCTAGTGTTGTATATCAGAGTATTTATTAAGTCGGGTGTATTATATTAGTTACTGTTAAAATATACAGAAAATGTTTACGTTATGTTTTTTAACCCAAATAAGATATTACAATAGTTTGCCTATTGATGTTCACCTTATGACCTTATGATACAGCATTTTTAACTTCCTGATTGAACCATTTTGATTTTATAATTATTGTTCTATAAGTTAAGTGTCTAACATAACATGGTTTGAAAATGTACATTTTCAAACTATATATTACAATTTTTCTACAGCAAAATGATTTTAATCTACACATTAGTAGTGAATTTCTGATATATTTCGTCCCAGCATAGAAAATAAGGGTTTCAAGGCTCCTGTTAAAAAGTACAAGCTATGCGTACGTTCATGAAACCGTGCTTCAACTCTTATGTAAGATTCAGCTTGATGCAAAATTAAAGTTTCCTAAAATCTACTTTGGCTCCTCGAGTTGAGTAGCACATATTTCAAAATGATTTAAAACCGTTGACAACTGTCTATCTGATGCAGCCAGTGACCTGTTAATCACCAGGAAATCAGCCCATGGGACTGAAAGTCTTTATAAAAATAAGAAGATATGGTATGATTGCCAATGAGACAACTATCCTCTAGAGATGTGGTATGATTGCCGATGAGACAACTATCCTCTAGAGATGTGGTATGATTGCCGATGAGACAACTATCCTCTAGAGATGTGGTATGATTGCCAATGAGACAACTATCCTCTAGAGATGTGGTATGATTGCCGATGAGACAACTATCCTCTAGAGATGTGGTATGATTGCCAATGAGACAACTATCCGCCACTGACCAAATGACGTAGATGTAAGCAACTATTTCACATTGTCCTTGTTCTAAATAACGGAACTATGAACAATGACACAGCAGCAAAATCTAATTTAAGAGTATACATTAGATATGTAAAAAAAACTACTTACCAAGGTGGTTAATCTTCTTAATTCATGCGATTTTCTTGTAACTGTTCTAAATGTACAATTCTGCAGTCCACTGAAAAGTTATCAAATAATGCATATTAACGGATGACGAAGCAAGTCACGGAGAAATGGTTAGGGATACTTTACCTGTGTTACAAGTTTAAAATTTCAAGATCATAAAAGCCTAGTTAACTACGTGAAGCGAATCAGGCCGAAAATATTAATTTTGTATAAAATGGTAAAAATTATAGAATGTGAAGGATTTATATCTATTTTTAAATCTATTATTATTATAATATAATAAAAATAATATATTTTTAGTTTTTACTTAAGACTTTTTTATATTTTCATGATTTTTGTCATGTTTTATGATCTTGAAATTTTTGTATAAAATGGTAAAATAATAATTTGAAAAAAATATATTGTCAACCCTATTGATACGTATGTGGTGGTACAATAGACTATGGCTTACTCAACGGGACAAGCTGGTCATTCCTGTTCCAGATAGTGTTATATTTTCCGTTAATATCTGTGATATTTTGTTAGATGTTCATTTGTTACAATGCATCGCTATTTCATCAATTCAAAGATTTATTTTGCCTTTTGGCAACTACGTCATAAAGACATAAGTGTTAACCGTTGAAAATGCATAAATGTTTTAAGCTTGTGCGTATTTGATTTTAGAAAAAATATTCCTATTTTGATTTTTACCTTATGTCCTCTGTTATGTCTGACTTAAGGATTTTGTCATATTCGATGTTTGTATTTATGACAGATCTTATGTATTTTTATTTTAAGAGAGAACAGATACCAAATGGGTAATAAATACCATAGGTCTAAGAAAAACAGACAACACGATGGCCAAGAAAAACAGACAACACGATGGCCAAGAAAAAACGACAACACGATGGCCAAGAAAAACAGACAACACGATGGCCAAGAAAAAACGACAACACGATGGCCAAGAAAAACAGACAACACGAGGGCCAAGAAAAAACGACAACACGATGGCCAAGAAAAACAGACAACACGATGGCCAAGAAAAAACGACAACACGATGGCTAAGAAAAACAGACAACACGACGGCCAAGAAAAAACGACAACACGATGGCCAAGAAAAACAGACAACACGATGGCCAAGAAAAACAGACAACACGATGGCCAAGAAAAAACGACGAAAACACAAACAACAGTCCACAAACACTACAAAGAGAATTAAAGACTGAGCAACACGAACACTACTAACCTAGATTTAATTGATAACTTTTCGATCTCTGGGCGATTTAGAACTTGATATTTTGTATTAACATTTGTTCATTGTTGAAGGCAGTATATTTACCCCTAAATATCCTTTGTTTTAGTCAATAGATTGATGTCTCGATGACATATACCACACTTCTCCTTTCCATCATACTTCATAGAAAAATCGAAATGTTGTAAGGAACTTTTCCTTTTGGGATGCGAGAAGTCATCTTTAAATTTATTATATAATCGCATATTAGAAATTTCCACGGTTACAGCTAAAACTGAAACGAATGCAATAATGATGCAATGCAAAGATAGTTCTTACATTAACTTTTTTGTAGTCAATGCATTTGCATATTTTTACTCAAATTATAAACTTTAAGGTAGATAGGGTGTCTTCCTCCATCTTGGATTTTGTAATACCTGGAAACAATCGGTCTAGATCTTTAATAGAATGTGCAAATTTTGAGATTAGTAGGTAATTCATGTGTAAGAATTTTCATTTCAATATAGAAAATGACATGTTTTGTCATATTTATGGTTGTATTTTACAAAAAACAGAAAACTTTTGTTTGATTTAATTTTTTCAACTTTGCCACATAAGGGGAGGCAACTCAAATGCAAGGGCAGTTAATTCAGATAAAGGTACTTTTACAATAGATTGTGTTAGGAATTTACCTAATTTATTATGTAGCAAGAAAACGGGTCTGGTGACCCCATTTTTTTTTTCTTATCTGAAAGCATACTATTAAAGCTATCTTCTCATATTTTATCTCAAAATTCTATGGTGTAGTTTTTGTTTTATTGCAGAAAATTGGGTTTTCCATGCATAATCTATACAAAATCTGTTAATTTTTAACAACCTGTAGCGTGAAAATAATCCCCGTGACCCATTCTTTTTATCATTTTTTTTTAAAAAGCTTGATATAAACTACATTTTGGCAAATTATTAAAAAATTCTATGGATTATAATTTAGACACCCCATCTACTTAAGAATACCCTTTAAGAATATCACCACAGCTATCAAAGCTAGACCAAAGGACGAGGATGTAAACAACTATAGGCAGCTATACCGGCTTCAACAATGAACAAAACCTTTATCTTTCACATTTAATAGAAATATAAAAATGACCTACCGCAAAGAGGGATAGGCAGCGGCAAATATTGATAGTACGAAGGGTTGTGAATGTCTCTCTTTGTTCGCCACGGTAAGTACGGTAAAAATCGTAAGAGTTGATTTTTAACATTTATTCAGCGTCAAATAAAGTAAAACAAGTATCGTTATCAAATTTCTATCTTTAATTGTCATATGGGTTTCCCCATTCCCATCCTCATTAACTGTTAAATTTGGTCAGTAAGGACAGCTGAAAAATTTGGCTGCAAATGTCAAGGCGACATAGAGTCGATGTCCCGTTATGTGGGTACTTTTTGTTTCTGGATACTTCTAAGCTGTAAATATTGCTATGTTTAGAAGCATTTTACAATCAAATGGTGTAATAACATTTGCAATGGTATTCCCTAAAACCATCCCATCTTCACCTTCACCCTTAAACTCAATCTACTAACCTGCATTGCGAGATAATCTCAAAGGATGAGACAGATTGAAGCGAACAAACTGAGATTAAAACATTCTTAAGTGATGCAAATGTGCGTATGTAGATGTTATAACCATTTGTTACTATTTCCATAACTGATTCCGAGAGAAAAAAAACTGCAGTTATATGGTCGACCTAATGTGGGAATGTAGTTCGGGATGTTATCCAGTTTAACGGGTAAACCTGATATGCGAATATGGCTGTATACTAGGTTATCCAAATTGCGTTGGTCATAACGTTATTCGATATGTCCAACAATCTATAGGGTTCAACATATCAAATATGATTAAAATGAATTTGCTCTTCAATGACATATATACTTTTTAACATGTTACAAGTTCGTCTAACGTTAGAAAAACGGACGACTGAAAGTCAAGATGTCACCATCCGCAACTATTTGTGTTAAGAGGGCGACAATATGATATTGTGGGAAGGGGGTGCTGGTAAGAAAATAAATAACATTGACACAATGAAAATGAATATTTTACTCAACAAAATGCACGATATATAAAATGTGTACAAGAGTGAAATTAAATTTTTGCACGGCAAAAAAAATAATATTCCGTCAGAATAAATTATTCTGACCCTCCCTTCAGAATATGAAATGGTCGTCCCCGACCCTCTTTCCGAAGCAAATGTAGGGAAAAGTTTACAGGGAATAAAGTCACAATAATAACAATTTAGAAATTATAGTAAATTTGATAAATAAAAGTATTTTTTCGAGGTTTTCATAGGATTATATAGTATCTAATTTTCATGTTATAAAATAAATATTCTGAACACTGAATACAATAAGGCTATTGCTTTAGGACACACAGGTTGGATTATATTGAGCGTCATAGATTTATCAATTCAAGTATGGACCAAATAATCCAATGAATGGGACAATGATGCTCTTACGGGAATGTTTGATACAGTACAACAGGTTCGGTTGTGGAAACTGGCGAAGAAGCCAAAACGAAAGACAGAACTCACAGACTGGTAGAGCAAATACAAACGATGACTTTCAGTATGGATTTTTATTTTCACTTTAAATGAACGGATGGTGTCAGATCAAAAGGTTGACTCCGACTGAAGACTTAACTTCAGTCGACAAATTAAAAAGATAGAGAGCTTGCCATAGACTTAAGATTACATAATAATAATGTTGACAAATTTTACAGACATACAATTTTAGCACTTTAAAAATAACAATAGATGGTGATTGAAAAACGGATTAATGTCATTGTAATCATTGTAATCATACATGTACTGAACAAGAACTGATAAACGGATATTGAAAACAAATTATCTATGTACGCTATAAACATTAACGGATTTTAAAAAAGAATAGGAATGGTAGCATAATTTAACACAATCCCTTGTAGACTTTTTCACACAGCTTTAGATTAAAAAGTAACACATACGAATAATATTTTAAGAATGCAAATCAAAGCACATTGTCTGTTGAATTTATTTTTATGAAATTGTCTGAAAAGATTAAACACAAACTGTAAAATAAGTCCGAATGTCCGAAATAAGAAACACAAGATTTGGTTCGACATTTTGCACGATCACATTATCTTGAAAGGCGGAGAGAAAAAGAGATGGTGAAGGCTTGAATTAAAATGCATTCAGGTTATTTCATTAATTTTCTGCTATACTATGAGGATAATTATACACCTATCTTTAACTAAGTAAGGTAACATTGGCACAATGAGGATAATCATACACCTATCTTTAACTAAGTAAGGTAACATTGGCACAATGAGGATAATCATACACCTATCTTTAACTAAGTAAGGTAACATTGGCACAATGAGGATAATCATACACCTATCTTTAACTAAGTAAGGTAACATTGGCACAATGAGGATAATTATACACCTATCTTTAACTAAGTAAGGTAACATTGGCACAATGAGGATAATTATACACCTATCTTTAACTAAGTAAGGTAACATTGGCACAATGAGGATAATTATACACCTATCTTTAACTAAGTAAGGTAACATTGGCACAATGAGGATAATTATACACCTATCTTTAAGCAGTGGACCATGTGGCTTTTACTAGTCCGAATTTAAAATCTTTGGTTAGTGATCGTGGGTTTGGATGTGCGGGCTGTAAAAATGCGCAGCAACATCCGGTGAGAAATAAGGAAATTAATTCCGTTTTCTCTTGTGATGATAGTGCCAGTTCTAAGCAGATGTGCGGGCTGTAAAAATGCGCAGCAACATCCGGTGAGAAAGGAGGGCATGAATTCCGTTGTCTCTTGTGATGATAGTGCCAGTTCTAAGCACGTAAATTGAAACGTATACCAAATAGATCTAGGAAGATGTGGTATGAGTGCCAATGAGACAACTCTCCATCCAAGCTACAATTTATAAAAGTAAACCATTATAGGTCAAGGTACGGCCTTCAACACGGAGCATTGGCATGTTTTCTTAGTGGTGATAAGGTGACCTTTTGCAAGAACAATTTTATGATCTCCCTAAATGCCATCAAAAGCTAACCCATAAACTCACGACTGATTTAAAATTAATACGCTTTTCAGAACTTAATTTGCTTAATTTCATTGGTTTTATACTGTCAATGGATGTTTGGAAATTTAAAATCAACCGTTCCTCTGCTCTCATTTGTTTTTTTCCTTCTTTGGGTTTTCACGTTTCATATTGACATTTTTTTCTATAATTTTAAAATGATCGTGTATTGAAATTTATCAGATGTCCTTCTTTATGAACTGATTAACATTATCTTTGACAGGTATATAAATCAACACTAGCTCATTGTTTATCTTATCTAACACTTTCCTTCACAAGTGATAAACACAGGTCAACATGATTAACTGTACTTTTATGGTTATTAAAGTTTGTTTATTTTTTTGAAAAAAAAATGCTCTGGACCCCATATAAATAACACAAAGCTGAGAGGGTGATAGAGCAGATTGTAACTTCGAGAAAACATTGTCAACCGAGGCTGAATATTCTGTCGTTATTGTCTTTTAAATGGACTTTATGTACACAACGAAGAATATCAGCTCATAGACTTAAAAAGAGTTATGAAGATATCAAGTCACTATCAGGCAAAATATATTGTGCATTAAAATAATTGCTCATCCGGCGAGGTAAAAGATGAGACCCGTTTTTTACAGACGTGAAGTTTACTTCAATAAATAATTTTAAAAAGATAATCGAAGTAATTCAAATCAATTATAAGCTTAAAAAATCAGACATAACTGAAGTTTTATCTTTAAACAAGAGCGTTTAATAAATTTAATTAAAAAACAAAATGTCATCATTTTACAAGTTTAACATACTTCTACAACAATTTCCTTTCACTGTTTATTTACATAGACATCATTTAAATGTGTTCATTCATTTCTATAACAATTATTTGACGATCGTTGTGATAACACAAACAGTAATCTATTACATTGATACAGGTGGTCATATAAAACCAGTAACCTATTACATTTACCTGATTTTTATAGAAATAATTTTTTTTTAATTCATATAATAACACATAAATTTAATATCATGGAATAAAGTATATACAGACCTTGAAAACTAAGTTGTGCGACCAGTTGCGAAATGATGATTCTTTACCGTCCATGGTCACACACAAATGACCACCTCATTTCACCCGATGACCCTAGGTCGGTTGAACAAATACTGGGACATTCAGTGCTTCACTGATTTCAAACAAAAACTTCATATTTAATAATCTGGTGTTCAAAACTGATCGTAAATTTTATACCAGATGACTTGTGCTTATAGCTAGTAAAATATTTTTGATAAGAGATGATAAGCAAATTGATTATTACTTCACAAAATAGAACAAATCATGCACAATTATCAAATTATCAATTATAAACATTTATACATGCGTCATCTGATTGAAATTGAAATATGGCCACTTTTAAGACACAAATGTCATTCATATCTTCACGATAAGATAGACTAACTAATACTGATGATAAGGTATGGTATTGTTTGCATGATTTTTAATACGTCACTATTTTATTTGATGAAATTTATTGAACCTGATCAAAAATTGAAAAAAAGAATAATTAGCGGGAAAACAACCTGCTATACATACACAAACATTCCACAATACCTTTTCCCAGCTTACTTATATTAGTTTCCTTTTGTAATAATGTAGGTACATTGCTTAATTTGGATACAAACGCTCGGTTTTTTTTTTCAAGTCAAGTCAAAAATTTTTTTTTCCTCAGACACAAACGTGTACAAGAGGTCAAAACATGATAAAGTATACACATAAATCGACAGCAGAGTAATGTATAATAGCACGTGATTTTCATGATATTGAGATAATTACATTATATATTACCTATTAAGTTTAAAGGATTACATTTGTACAGATATCTTCCTATTTATTCAGTGATTGTGAGTACCTAAATATATATATAATGTATAAAAATTGTATCTACAACACATAAGTAATCTTTCTAAGAAAAGTACATACTTTCCTATACACCTTTATGTTGCACAATGAAAGTAAACCGATTAATTTCTGCCTTGAAGGATATTGTAAGTAATAATTAGGTACGAGATTTTGTCTAAGAAGTGACACACTAGGATGTGAACAAACACACATATAATGATATTCGTCGCCAATATTTTGATTACATAGATGACATATCCTATTTTCTTTTAAAATATTTTTCCATCTTCCCGTTTCAATTGGGAATTTAAGATTTGAGCATCTAAATTTAGACATATACAATCTATCAGTATTTCCCAATCGTAGTAGATAGGGTTCTAATTCAAATATATTTTTGAATTAACCATAGAATTCTCCTCTTGAAGAATTATTAATTACAGAAAACCATTGTTGTATAAACTGATCAACAAGTTTTTGTTTGACAAGAGATTTCAACATTTCTCTATTCATAGGTATCTGATCATTCCATATAAAAGTAAGACCACTTTCATCAAGAATGGATTTGATGTACGCAACCCATTTAAAATGTTTGGGTTTACTCTGGTGAAGTTGTAACATAAGTCTATATAAAATATTAGATAATTTATTCTCATTTGAGAGCATATCATTCCAAAATATAACCATGCGTAGTTTAATAGTAATATCAATGGGATAACGACCAAGTTCCCCGTAAACCATAAAATTTGGAGTACTTTTTCTCACGTGCAGAATATTTTTACAAAACTGCAAGTGCATCTGTTCCAGTCCCTGTTTATTTTCAAGCCCCAATACTTCACTAGAGTAAATCATTATAGGTAGAATAAGACAATCAAATAACTTTAGCTGTATATCTACGGAAATTGAAATATTTCTTATCTTTCTATATAGTGCATACAATGCTTTATTGGACTGTTCCAATAATTTTTTTCTAGCTGAACAAAAAGAGCCATTATAATTAAATACAATACCCAGATAAGTATATGAGTCTAAGACATCAATATTTTTACCATAAATTTTAAATTCTGATTTAACCTTGTATTTCTTTTTACTGAAAATTACAATTTTAGTTTTACTTGTATTAACTGTGAGTTTCCATTCATTACAATATTGCTCAAAAATTGTCAATGCATGTTGCAGATCCTCCTCTGACTCAGATAAAATAACTGTGTCATCTGCATATAATATTATAAAGATTTTTATATAACATAATAAGATTTCTTGGCATTTATCTGATATATTTTCAAGGTCTTTGACATCATTATCTAGTAAAAATTTCTCCAGATCATTCAAAAAGAGGGAAAAAAGAAAGGGGGATAAATTCTCCCCTTGTTTCACTCCTATATCACAACTAAAAAATGCAGAAATATCCTTTCCCATTCTAAAACATGTCTGGATATTCTGATACATGTTGTGTATAACTCTCAATATGTTGCCTTGAATATTATACTGTAGCATCTTTTGCCACAAACCAGCTCTCCAAACTGTATCAAATGCACTTTTGAAATCAATGAACGAGCAAAATAATTTTTTAACAAATGAAAAATAGATAGAAATAAGTGAATGTAAAATAAAAATATTATCCATAGTAGAAAACCCTTTTCTGAACCCAGCCTGTGCTCCTGTAATTAAGCCTATTTCATCTGACAATTTATTTAATCTGTTATTGAGCACAGCAGTGAATGTTTTACTTAGACATGAATTGATAGTTATACCTCTGTAAGAATTCGGGTCAGATTTAGAACCCTTATTCTTGAAAATTGGAACCATTATTCCTTTGGTCCAGCATTCTGGTATAATACCCGTATCTAACACAATTTTAAATAACATTACATACACATTCATCATATCATCTAATGTACATTTAATATATTCATTCAATATGTTATCATATCCAGCAGATTTATTATTCTTTAAATTTTTTACAGCACATTTTATTTCATCTGCTGTTATTGGAGAATTTAATAATTCTTATATATCTGGTGGTAAATTATTAACATCAATATCTATATCAATTTCATCATGTATATTATTTTCATTCATGGATTTAAAATAATCATATAATGTTTCTACAGATATATCACATTTCTCATCTTTTTTTTGTAACAAATTTATTTAAAATTTTCCAAAACTCTTTCCCTTGTTTTTTTGATGTATTTCTCAATTTTTGTTCGAAGTCAAATTGATAGTTTTTGTATGCTTGGTTTGTAACCATCTTGTATGATTTACTTGTCTCGAGTAGTTGTTTGCGTGTTGCTTCATTTTTAAAAACGTTATAACGTTTTTGAAGGTTGTTATATAGAATTACTTCGTTTTTCTTTTCGTCACGTAATTTTTATAAGAGCGAAAACTTTATTTCATAACTAGAGTTTTGTCTGACAAATCTTACAATATACATTGTATATTGTTTTATGAATTTCTAAATTGGTTTTGTTTTGTTCTTAAAAGAATTTAAGTTTGAATTTCCCTTTGATATATTTCGCCTCTCTTTTAAATACAAAAATAAAAAATGTACTGGAGTTTGAAGTATTTGGGAAAAATTACTGTATGGGGTATAACAATTACTTTATGACACATTTGTATCGTCTTCTCTGAAACTAACTTGACAAAATGGAGATTGGAAAATCATTCTATAAAGATTCCACAGTGGCAGTCATACACTACGATCTGGCGTCATATGAGTGTAAGACAATGAATCAATTCATTTGTTCTGGAAACCAATAGAATGGACTGAAAACAGAAAGCAGATTGATAAGAAACTAAAATTATATCTTGAATCTAGTACCCTTATGACCTCTCCTTTCAACGGCAGTGCTGTGAGAAGTCTCCAGTCAGCACAGAACGTAGATAAAATTGAAAGCGAGCTTAGACTGTACATATGTAAGAGTTGTCAAAATATAACCTTTAGCAATAAGTATCTAAAGCAACAAACAAATATATATATGAAGAACAATTCCAAAACGTTTTTCCTTTAGAAAAAGCATTATCGTTTTAAGCTGGATGTATTTTTTTTTTGTTAGTCGTAGTCAAACTTATTTTAGGGTGAATAAATGTTTGACAAATAGTAAAGATAGTTTTCTTTTTAATTAGACCAAGTTTGACCTCTAACTGTCTACATGATTTCTTCTGTCTTCAGGTTCCGGCCCTATTCACTAAATATCTCTTTTATTTTTGTAATCGAACCAAATAATCAAATGAAAAATTGTGAAAAAATATATAAATATTGTTAAAATTAAAAATCTGAAAACTACACAACGTAAAAGGTTGCATGTTGTTTGTGTATGCTTGTCAAGGTTAAACGGTGATCATTTATTATATTGCATAAATAGATTATATTTGAAGTATCTATTCTGGTGTGTCTGGAAATATCTGCTCCTGTTTTATATAAAAAAAAAATCGATTTTGTTTTAACGTTCACCCTTTTTGCCTTTGTGAATTATTTCCTACACACAGTATTGTAACGTTGACTGATTAATATATTTTTTTTACGGTCCTGAAAAAAAACATACCCTGGACATCATATAAATAACACATATAGCTCAGAGGGTGAAAAGGCAGATTGTAACCCCGAAAAAACATTGTCAACAGAGTCGAAGCAATTGACTCTATTAGCCTCACAGCTATGTGTTATCCAATTTATAATACTGAATGTACTGTCACTATTGTCTTTAAAATTTTAAATTAAAAGTAATAAATTTTGACTTTATGTACACAACGTTACAGCCATTAGAACATTAGAAAAATAACAACGGTGAAGCAAGATGTATTTTTTTTATGTTGACAGTCATATGAAAGGCTTGAGGCCGGAACGTAGAACTTGAGCATTGTCTTTAAAATTCAATTTTCTGTCCTATAAATTATTGATTTTTGATTGGTCTGCAGACGAGGATGATATCTAAAAAATTGTCTTCCGCTGAGCCATAGGAGTGAGTAAAATATTTCACTCGAATTAATCAATAACATCTGACATTTTAACGTCAGGTATAATACAAAGGAAAAGGGTAATTTAACTAAACTGTATCAAAGTCACAACACTCGGGACTTTGGGAAATATATTGGTAATATTGGTATTGCGAATGAACGTCGCCAAAACATACCGTTCAAAGTAAAAACAGATGACGGCTTTAGTAGTGATGTTGATATTGTCCTTGACAAATGGAAAACAGATTATGAAAAACTATTTAATTC